CCCGCCTCCTCCCACAGCACCAGCCTCCCAGTCTTGGTCTGGTGGCTCCTCCCCTGCCTCGGCCTTAAAACCCCCTGTCTGTGGCCAGGAGCGCAGTCCTCAGGTGCCCGGGCAAGGCTGCACTGCTCCTCCTGATCCTGCGCCGGCCAGAGGGATGAGGCTCTCCCCAGCCTGAAGGTGGGTCGGAGGGTAGGTTCTGCGTAGCTGGTCAGACAGGCGGTGGTAGGAGCGTGTCTGCTGAGTGGCAGGAGAAGCAGCAGCCACTAGGCACCTCAAGGGGACACCAGCCATTCAGCAGAGCAGGGCTGTGAGATTCTGTTGGTTGGGGACCAGGGACACACTGCGAGGGGCACAGAGCGAGGAGGTGCCTTGCCAGAGGCTCACAAATGTGAGGACTGTCTTGGCCTGAGGACACTGACTGCCCACTCCTGGCAGGCACCGAGCCCCTGCTTGGCAGCGTCGGACACCGCACTCCTCCGTTAACCAGGCCACCGAGAGCGGAGAAGACCTAACTGAGGGGACAGATGGCTTCGGCTGGCCTAGAACTCCTAGGCATGACCCTGGCTGTGCTGGGCTGGCTGGGGACCCTGGTGTCCTGCGCCCTGCCCCTGTGGAAGGTGACCGCCTTCATCGGCAACAGCATCGTGGTGGCCCAGGTGATGTGGGAGGGGCTGTGGATGTCCTGCGTGGTGCAGAGCACAGGCCAGCTGCAGTGCAAGGTGTACGACTCGATGCTGGCGCTGCCCCAGGACCTGCAGGCCGCCCGAGCCCTCTGTGTGGTCGCCCTCCTGCTGTCCCTGCTCGGTCTGCTGGTGGCCATCACGGGGGCCCAGTGCACCACCTGTGTGGAGGACGAAGTTGCAAAAGCCCGAATCGTGCTCACCGCGGGCGTCATCCTCGTCCTGTCGGGCATCCTGGTTCTCATCCCCGTCTGCTGGACGGCCCACGCCATCATCCAGGACTTCTACAACCCCCTGGTGGCTGAGGCCCTCAAGCGGGAGCTGGGGGCCTCCCTTTACCTGGGCTGGGCGGCAGCTGCCCTGCTCATGCTGGGCGGGGGCCTCCTCTGCTGCACGTGCCCCCCGCCCCAGATCGACCGGCCCAGAGGACCCAGGCTGGGCTACTCCATCCCCTCCCGCTCTGGCACCTCTGGAATGGACAAGAGGGACTATGTGTGAAGTGTCTCCAAAAGCCCACTGCTCAGAGCCTTGACTTTGCGCTGGATGCCCCTCTCCAACCCCTGCCTTCTACCCTCCACCCCTTCCCCAGATGAAACCTACTTTCTGGGCGTTCCAGCCAGGTCTGGCTGCTGGGCTCATCTCAGATGGCTTGGCTGAGCCCAGATCCTCCTCCATGGGGCCCCCACCTCCTGGCCACCCAACTCCCCCAACCAGTTGCTGTCTTCTGCTTCCTGGACCTACGTTGGCTCTCCTCCCCTTCCTGAGGCCTCCCCTGCCCCTGGAACCAGGGCCTCCTCCAAAGGGCCGTACTCCTTGGCTCAAACAAGGAGAAAACAAGGAGAGGATTATGCTCTGCCGGCCCTGGAGCCGGTCCCCTCCAGTCTGGCCACCACCTTCATTCAGAGACCCAGGCCAGGCCCTCTGGGAGAAGCCGATCTCCTCCAGGCCAGAAGGGCCCAGCCCACTCCCTGCCCCCACCCGTTCCCAGAATAAAGAGTATTTGTACCTCTGCTGCCTTGACCTGTGATTGGGCAGGGAAGACCAGGTGGCCCGGGCTGTCAGGCCAAGGTCTGCTCCAGGTCCTGCTGAGCGGGTAACCTCACTCAGGCCGTGCTAGGCAGGTGAGCAACAGAGGTGAGTCGCTCATGGTCACCTTATTCCAGGCTGGAACTCAACAGCCTCCCAGCAACTCCAATGGCAAGCGACAAAACAAAACACTCTTTATTTAGTAAAAACTAGTGGGTGGGTGTGCCATGGCAGAAGTGTGCAGGGTCTGGAGATGAGAGTGTCAGGGGTCTACAGTGTGGTTGGGAAGCAACTCTGAGTCAAGCATGGAAGAGCCAGAGGTCAGAATCCTTGGAGGTAGGGGGTTTGGGTAACTTGTCACCTGCTCTTCTCAAGGGTACTGAGGCTGGAGCTCCGGGTCACAGAGGCCTGACCAAGAAGGCGGGGCTTATCCCTGCAAGCCCTGCCCCACCAGAGCAGGAACTCGTGGGGACAGACTGTCAAAGCACCTTGTTGTCACAAAGTACCTGGCCAGCAAACAGCCTTCACCCAGGGGTCCCAGCTCCAGGCTGGCCTCCAAGACGGGAATGTCCAAGGTGGAGAAAGACGGAGAAACGGAAGTGTTGCCTCCTTGGTCTCATCATCCAAAGTGAGAAATGCCAGCAGCAGAGCCCAGGTGAGACTGAATTTCTTCTTGGTTTGGTGTTTAACAAATGGCTTAAAAGAAAAATACCCCGCCCTAATCAGTTTGGCTCAGGGGATAGAGCGTCGGCCTGCGGACTCAAGGGTCCCAGGTTCGATTCCGGTCAAGGGCATGTACCTTGGTTGTGGGCACATCCCCAGTGAGGAGTGTGCAGGAGGCAGCTGATCGATGTTTCTCTCTCATCAATGTTTCTAACTCTCTATCCCTCTCCCTTCCTCTCTGTAAAAAAATCAATAAAATATACTAAAAAAAAAAAAAAAAATACCCCCTTGCCCAACAAAAAGGAAAAACAAGATAAAAGCAACCCAGAAACTGTTGTGCATTCTGATGACTCCAGCTCAGGAGTTAAGCTCCACGGTCAAGGGAGCCCCCGTCCTCCTACCCATCAGACGTAATTCTTGGTGGGGTATTCAGAGGGCCCCTGAGAGATGGCTCGTGGGGCAGATGCTGAGTATCGGGCCAGGTAATGGCTGGAGCCCCGGGACCCCCCAGAGGGGCAGGTGTAGCACAGAAGCCCCCCACCCAGCAACAAAAGACCAGAAGCCGCCCAGCCCAGGTAGAGGGAGGCCCCCAGCTCCCGCTTTTGGGGCTCTGCCACGAGGGGGTTGTAGAAGTCCTGGATGATGGCGTGGGCCGTCCAGCAGATGGGGATTAGGGTCAGGACCCCTGAGATGACAAAGATGATCCCAGAGGTGAGCACCAGACGGGCCTTGGAGTCCTTGTCCTCCACGCAGGTGGTACACTTGGCCCCACCGAGGTAGATCAGCAGACCCAGCAGGGTGATGAGGAGGGTGATGATGCAGAGGGCTCGGGCAGCCTGCAGGTCCTGGGGCAGCGCCAGCATCGAGTCGTACACCTTGCACTGCATCTGGCCTGTGCTCTGCACCACGCAGGACATCCACAGCCCCTCCCACATCACCTGGGCCACCACGATGCTGTTGCCGATGAAGGCGGTCACCTTCCACAGGGGCAGAGCGCAGGACACTAGAGCATTCACCCAGCCAAGCAACGTCAGGACGATCCCCAGGATTTGCAGACCAGCCGAGGCCATGATGAGGTTGAGGTCGAAAGGAGCTGACCTGGGGACAGAACAGAGTAATATTAGACCAGCTGGCCAAGGTCCCTCATCTCCAACGAGTGCTAATCCCCATGGCCGATGCCATGGCCACACAGAACACCAGGAGTATAAACCTTGGGAGTTGGGGTGCCATGTCTTGCCCCGAGCCTCATTTTCTCATGGGCAAAATGAGCACGAATGCCTTAGCATATATTTCTTTCCTCCTAGTTATGTGGAGAGTCTTGTTTTGGAGTACAAAGGGAAGATAATATAAAGGCCTAAAGCCAGCGCTAGTCCCTGGCCTCAGCCACTATGGGTACATTTGATCAAACAGCAAAGTGACAAAAGAGGATGGAGTGACAGCGAAGTTTGCAGGTGTTTCCACAGAGCGCACAGATGGGAGGTTGGCTCTAGCTATTGAGTTTCAAAGCCATCAAGATTAGCGATCCAACCTTCTTCCCACCACCCGACGGGAGTCCAGACCCCTCACCCCAACATGGTTCGATACCTCAGGCAGGTGGCTACCGGTTTGATCTTAAAGATCATCTGTGCTGTGTGGCCCACCATCCCCACCCGGCCTGCCCCAGCACGGCCTCTCCTCCCCTAAGGCCACGGGCTGTCTCCCTGGGTCCCACTCTCCTGCCCTCCCGTTGGGGCCCTAGAGCACACTGCCAAGGTCGGGGACATTTTTCTTGTGTATTCTTTCCCATAATGCCATCCTCTCAAGACACAACTTCTCGAAAAGGAGCTGAAATCCTTGGGGTCTATCCAGTGAACCAGCTCCTCTACAGCAGCCCCTCCGCCTGTCTCCCCTCACATCTCATTTCATGTTGGAGGACTCCATCCAGATCAGTCCTGTGTAGGTGTTTGTTACGGCTCTCCATTGCCCACAGGTTCCGGGCCACGGCCCGGACCTAAACCTAGCACCAGCCCAGCAGTGTGACCTGAGAGCAGACTCAACACTCACTTTTATTTGCACCCGCTAGGCCCGAGCTGAAGACCTGGGCGGGGGAGGCAGGATGGGGTGGGCCAGCCCTCTTCCATCCAGTCCCGGGTCTACCCCTCCAGGCGTCTGGCCGAGGTGAAGCCGCGGCCCCTCCGGCCCAGGCACCTCGCGCTTCTCCCCTGCCCTCCACTCCGTTCCGGTCCCACATACCATCGGCTCGATTTTGTCCGAGGAGGCGCCTTACCGCTCCCGATCCCCCCCTCGGAGTCCCGCCCACAAGTGGGTGTCCTCGGTCCCCCATCTTCCCGGGGGCAGCGCGCGCGGGGTGGTTTAAAGGCGGCGCCGGCCTAGGGTCGGCTCCCGCAGGTGAGGGGGAGGGGCGGCCGGCCCAGCGCGCATGCAGGTGGGGGAAGGGCGCCCGGGTGTCGGGGCCTTTGTCCCAGGGGAAGAGAGGAGGGGCGTTTAGCCATTTCGAGCCGCCAAAGGACCCGATCTGCCCCCGCCGGGGACTCGGCAGAAGATCAGTCCAGTTCTCCATGCTGCCCGCACCCTGCGCCCCGTTCCTCGAGGCACCCATCTCCTCCCCAGCACGCGCACTGCCCCGAGGCTCACCTGAGCAGGTGGGGCTCTGCGGAGATCCGAAAGAGCCGCGAGTGCGGGGACGGGGCGGAGCGGGGGACCACCGCCCCGGGGAGGACCACCGCCCCGGGGAGGGGCAGAGACCCACCGCGGTCCCGCGGATTCCGACTTGGTCGGTCCTGGGCGCCCGCATCTGGCCGGGGTGGGGGGACATCAGCGACTGGCGGGGGCCCGCAGGGAGTCAGGGCGCAGGGCGTGGAGCCAAACGGACCTCGGGCCTCGGCTCCTCCACCTTCCCGAGCCTCAGTTTCACACTCTGCAAAATGGAGACAAGTCCACATTTTACTCGGGAACTGTGTCCTAAGGTAAACATCAGAGGACACATCGTCATTGTTTTTATGCTGCCCTCCGAGCTGGGAGGGATGGTTCCATGTCTGACCCTCCGCCCCCCTCCCCCGACACGCACACACCTCCGGGACCTGAGCCCCGAGGGCAGCCCAGTCTGTCCCCGCGAGGTGCCCGCCGCCCGCGCGTGCAGGCGGGGTTAGAGCTCCGGGCTGAATTAGCGGGCCGGGCGGGGCGGGGGCCGGGGGCGGGCCGCTGGGCCGGAGGCGTGGGGTCCGCCCCGGAAGGCGGGGGCGGGGACCCGGCTGAGGTTGTCTGTCCCGGCGACTAGCGGCGGGCTCAGACCGGAGCGGTCGCGGGACGCGCACGATGGCTCTGGCCCCGCTGCGCCCTCTGCCGCGGCTGCTGGTGCTGGGGCTCGGGCTGGCGCTGCTGAGCGCGGCGGCCGGGGAGCCGGTGTCAGGTACGCCGGGCTCCAGGCTGGGGCTGGGCGGGAGGACCGGGGAACCCCGGACTGGGATGTGGGAGCCGGTTTGGGGGAGCTAGAGGAGGGGGCAGAACTGGGGGTGCATGGGATCGGGGGTCAGGTAGTTCCCAGGCACCGCGCTCCCTGGCCAGGGGAGGTCCCGTCTCGCTCCGAGCTTCCTTCCCAGTCCCGGCCTCAGTTTCCTGCCGGTCCCACTCGGACTCGGAAGTGGAGAAAGTTTGAAGGCGGGATGTCTCGTCCGGTGAGGGGGCAGGCCCCCAGCCTGGTCAGTACCGGGCCTGCCCAGCCCCAGGGACCGGAGTCGGGGTGGGGTGTCGAGAGGCACGGGGGTCTGTGTCCCCCACACCATGTGGGGTGCTCCCTTCCATCCGGTGACTTAAGTGCCCAGCTATGCGGGGGGGAGGGACCGGGGTCGGGCCCGGTGCCCAGGAATGAGTCACTCGCCGGCGGCGGCGGCGGCGGCGGGGGGGGGGCCGTTAGGAGGGACCTGACCCTCCCAGCCTCCTGCCCGCCGGCTCCCCCACCCCGCGCTGCCGTATCCCGGTCGGGCGGTGCGGTCACCTGTGAGGAATGCGGGAAGAGGGCGCCGGTGACTCACGTTATACGAGCCGCCGACCCAGACCTCGGCCCCCAGAATAGCCGCGCCCCGCCCCCAGCCTCTGATCCCCTTCCCCAGGCACCACTCCCTGCTCCCGCGGCAGCTCCTGGAGCGAGGACCTCGACAAGTGCATGAACTGCGAGTCCTGTCCAGCCCTACCGCACAGCGACTTCTGCCGGGGATGTGAGTGGGGGCGGGCCGGGGGGCGAGCGGACCCCAGCATAGGGGAGAGTTGCTGGGGTAGAGAGGGAGCAGGTGGCTTTAGATCTGGGGAATTAAGGTGGGAGGCGAATGGGGAAGGGGCGCCAATCCGGGTAGGGAAAGACTTGAGGCTCCGCTCTAGGGGGTGGGGCTGGTCCGGAGAGGGGTGAGGTCTGACTTTGAGTCCTGCCCGCAGGTGCTGGGGCTCCTTCAGCCTCCTTTGGGCTGTTGTGGCCCATCTTGGGGGGCGCCTTGAGCCTAGCCCTTGTGCTAGGGCTGCTTTCTGGCTTCCTGGTCTGGAGACGGTGCCGCAGGAGAGAGAAGTTTACCAGTAAGTGCGCCCGTCCCCCTTGCCCCGCCATCACTCCTCAGCATGTACCCAGCTCTTGATGACCCCTCTTCTTATTTTTCAGCCCCCATCGAGGAGACCGGCGGGGAGGGCTGTCCCGGCGCAGCGCTGATCCAGTGACCATGAGCTTCCCTGGTCATCAGGAAACTGTGCCCACCGCCATTCATTCATTCATTCATTGTGGAGCCAGCCCTTGCCTCCCAACTAGAGCCATGCTACTCCCATCACAGGGGTGTGCAGGAGGGGGGGACAGCTGAATCACTCATCTGGGGCCTGGATCCAGGCTTCAGAGGAAACTTCCAAGGTATCTGACTGCGCTGTCTCTGGCTCCAGGACAGAAAAGGAGACCCAGGCTGGCTCACACCAGATGGCTGACACTAGGAACTGCAACATTTGCACAAAGGCCCCCGATCCCCATGGCTTGGGGGTCAGGCTGAAGTGAGGCACAGACAGAACACCAGGTCCCACCCACTCCTCTATGTGCTGAAATCCCAGCACTGGGGTCTCAGCCTGGGGGGTTAGGGACCTGTTCCTAACACTAGGGGGCTGGCCCTCTAGGGGGGCTGGCCTTGAGACACTGCCCCCACCAACCCTCAAAGGAGGGGAGATATTTATTTTGGGTAGGAAGTTTGGAGGGGCGGGAGAATTTATTAATAAAAGAATCTTTAACTTTAAATGGATCGGAGAGTGGCATGATTCCCCAGCCTAAGCTGGAGGGAGGAGTGAGTCAGCCTCGGGGGCGGGGGTGAGGCTCTGACTCACACATTCTCAATGCCTGAGCCCAGCCTGCCAGGACCTGGGCAGACCCTGACCGCTTTCCGGGGAAGATCTTGAGGAGAAACTGAAGCATCTTGTGCCCCAGTCTTGCCCTCTCTTCCCAAAGGCCCCAGGTTCCAGACTGAAGCCACCATCTGCTCAGCAATGTTTATTCATTTCTTCTGTGGGGGGGATGGGGGAGAATGCCTCCCTTTTCATGCTACTGTCCGTCCTACCCCAGGCTCTGTCTTTCTTTGTTGGGGGAAGGTCTTGATGCTCAAAGGCCTGGTCTGGAGGAAAAGCAGGACAGCTGTTCCTTTCATGAGGGTGTTGATCTCCCCCGTTGTGGGGGAGAAGCAGCGTGGGCAGGTACACGGTCTGCCGGCCCTCAGGGCTCCATTATGTCCCCAGCTGGGGTTGCAGGGTAGTGGGAGGCAGGGGTGTCCCCCAGCCTCAGCAGCCTCAGAGCCTCAGGGATCAGGTTTCCAGGGTAGCGCCAGAGGAGCAGTTCAGAGCAAGGGCTCCTGGAAGAGGAAACGACAGTGAGGGCATAGGGCTGAGGGTGGCCTGGCAGAGCCTCCTCCTACCAGGTTCAGGTCCCCCAGGGCTCCTGGGCTGCCTCTACCTTCTAAGGAGCCAAGAGGAGAAACGACAGAGGTTGGCTAGAAGCTAAAAATAGCAGGATGAGGCAAGGCCTGGAGGCTGGCGCCCAGGAGGTGTGATCCTCCAGAAGGCCCGGTCAGCGGATGGTCAGCGGATAGCGGATAGCGGATGGTGCTTACCTGAGTCGGGGCAGAGCTGGGGAGAATGCCAGGGGGGGGCTGCAGTAAGGGTGGTCATTATGCAGGCTGAGCTGAGAGAAGTGGGTGGCCATATTCTCCTCGGACAGGAACTGCTTGCGCTGGGGCTCCCTGGGGAGAGACCAGGAGGCAGGTAGGCTGGGATACTCGGAGGGGAGGCAGGCTGATGGGGACCTGAGTTGCCAGAGGTCTTGTTGGGAGTCCCTCCCTGTCCCCAGACTCACTGCTCCTCCTTCAGGCGCCGTTTGGTGCTCAGGGGCACAGCTCCTCGGAGAGGGGAGCTAGGGAGAAAAGAGAGCCAGGTGCACCCCACCCTCTTGGCCCCATGCCAGGATCTGCCAGCCTGAGCCAGGAACGCCAGCCAGGAATCCCCCAGCCCATGTCTCAGCTGACGCCTAAGTCACCCCCACTCTCTGGAAGTCTCCAAACCGGACTCAGCTCCTGCCCAAGTCCTGCTGAATTGCCCCACTGTGTGTCATCTTGCAGACGAGCCCCGAGCCCCCAGCCAAAGCTCTTGCGCCCCTGGGCGAGGCCCACCTGGGGGCCCCCATACACACCTCGCGTTCAGGCTTCGAGGCACCCCCGAGTCGCGTTGGGTCAGACTCGGGGAGCCACGCTCCAGGGGCTGCTGAAGGATCATTGGAGTTCGGGGTCCTGGGGCAGAGGGTGGGATGCGGAAGGCAGAGGCGGAGCTCCGGGGGCGTGGCCACACGCGAGAGGCGTGGCTTTAGGTGCGCGCAGCAGCGAGATTCCGCGCGGCGCGGAAGACGGGTGGCGCGCGGCTGGAAGGCGGGTCTGCTCGGCGGGGTGGGGGAGGGGATCCGGCGTAGCGGGGCGGCGGTGGGCGCCTCTTAGTGTCGGGGGCCCGGGAGGTCTTCGCGGCGTTCACCTCAGCTCCTGGGGCTCCGGTGGCACGCGGCGACCGCCTGCCGGCCGAGCCTGCCGGCGGTACTGGACCAGTGGGACGCCGGGAAGGTAAACCGCTCCCGAACACGTCCGGACCCGGGAGGCTGTGTCGCGCGGAGCACTCTGGGATTTGTAGTTCTCGAGATGGAGCGAGCTGTACCGCCCACGGTGCCTCTGGGTCAGGTGAGGCGGACATGGTGCGCGGTGCCTTCTGGGGTTTGTAGTCTATGCCCAGTTCAGAAGGGGAGAGCTAGGAGTCCTTCCCTGAACCGTTTTTCCTTTTTTAAAAAACTATTTTGCTTAAAGTACTGTCACGAGGAATATAGAAAGGACTCTCAGAACTCAACAAGACAACCCAATTTTATTGTTGTTGTTCATCCTCACCCGAGGATATTTTTTCCATAGATTAGAGAGAGTGGAAGGGGGTAAAGGGGGTGGGGGCAGAGAGAGAAACAAACACCCATTCGAGAGAGACACATTGGTTGCCTCCCGCAGGCGCCCCAACCCGGCCGGGGATGGAACCTGTAACCCAGGGATGTGCCCTTGATCAGGAATTGAACCCCAGACCCTTTAGTCTGCAGGCGGACGCTCTAACCACTGAACACACCGGCAGGGCAAGTTTTAAAAATTTATCTTTATTGTTGAAAGTATTCCAGATGTCCCCTTTTTCTCCCCATTGACCTCTCCACCCTGCACCTGCTCACCTCCCCCAGGCCTTCTCTGTACTGTTGTCCTGAACCCTGTTTTGCGCGGGCTGGTGGTAGGACTTGGACTCTGACCCCTGGGCAGAAGAGTAAGCCAGAAACACCTCGTGGGCCTAACATGAAAGGCAGAGGGTAGGGCTTAGGAAGTAGTACGTTATTCTTTATTGGGGTAATGGAGCCACATTTTGTGCACTTTCAACGAGGCAGCCTGTTGTGAAGCTCTTTATATACAGTAGCTCATGCAATCTTTTTTTTTAATATATATATTTTATTGATTTTAGAGAGGAAGGGAGAAGGAGAGAGAGATAGAAACATCAATGATGAGAGAGAATCATTGATTGGCTGCCTCCTGCACGCCCCTCACCGGGTATCGAACCCGGGACCCAGGCATGTGCCCTTGGCCGGAATCGAACCTGTGACCCTTCAGTCCGCAGGCTGACGCTCTATCCACTGAGCCAAACCAACTAGGGCAGCTCATACAATCTTGACAGAATCTCCCCTGAGCTCCATTTAACAGTTAAGGAAACTTGGAAGAGAGCCTGGGTGCTTGCTCAAGGTCCTTCTAGGCACCTTGCATCAACTCTCCCCTTCCTTCCTCACCCTCTTCTTGGAGCCACCCCTGGGACTTTATGGGCAGATGCCTGCTTAGGGGGCCTCAGTGGAGGTCTGAGAAGTACGGGCAGCAGCTGAACTGGCGGTAGGGGGACCAGGAAGGAGTCTGCGGATTGGAGTTCCCAGACGGCTTCCATCCGGCCTCTCCCCACAGATGGAGGTGTTTCAGGCCCTGCAGCGGTTGCACATGACCATCTTCTCCCAGTGTTTTTCACCCTGCGGGAAGTTCCTGGCGGCTGGGAACAATTACGGGCAGATCGCCATCTTCAGGTACCCTTGCCCCTGCTCGCCAACTCCCATTGGCTCTGGTATGTGGCCTTCCTAGGACTGATGCCCCCTGCTCCCGACTCAGACACTCTCTCCCCTTCTCCTGCAGCTTGTCTGCTGCTTTGAGCTCCGAGGCCAAAGAGGAAAGTAAGAAGCCCATCGTGACCTTCCAAGGTGGGTGGCAGCCATTGAGTTTGACTTCGGGGACCCCAAGGTGAAGGAGGGGAGCAGGATAGAGTCCTTCAGGTTCTGCATTTCCATTTAGCCCACGATGGGCCTGTCTACAGCATGGTCTCCACTGATCGACATCTGTTCAGCGCTGGGGACGGGGAGGTGAAGGCCTGGCTTTGGGCAGAGATCCTCAAGAAGGTAAGGAGTGTGGAGCTGAGGGGCAGGGGCACTGGGGCACCCAGGCCCAGAGGGAACCTTTGAGGTCACCCAGTGCTTCTCTCCATGAAGGGCTGTAAGGAGCTATGGTGTCGTCAGCCCCCGTACAGGTAAGCCAGGGCCGCGTGGGCAGAGGGCACGTGAGGGTGCAGGTGCTGCCTCACCAGAGCTGACCCTGCTCTCTCTCCTCCAGGACCAGCCTGGAAGTGCCTGAGATCAACGCTTTGCTTCTCGTCCCCAAGGTCTGAGCCTTTTGTGACTAGGGCTCTACCCTGCCCTGTTTCTGGCCCAAACGAATACTTCCCCGATCCCTGCCCTTATTTGACACTGACGGGTGACCCCATCTTCCATCCTGCAGGAGAATTCCCTCATCTTGGCAGGCGGGGACTGCCAGCTGCATACGATGGACCTAGAGACGGGGGCCTTCACGGTGAGAGGCCCTGGAGCCGGGCGGGAGGGGGAGGCATTCTTTCCGGATCTCATTCTGACACGGCCCCTCTCCCTGCAGCGGGCCCTCCGGGGCCACACAGACTACATCCACTGCCTGGCGCTGAGGGACCGGAACCCTGAGGTGCTGTCTGGCGGCGAGGATGGGACCGTGCGGCTTTGGGGTAAGGGAGTGACTAGTTGGAGAGGAAGGTGCTGATGAGGAAGGCTGGGGTGGGGTGAGTAGGGTACCTCTCCTGGTTTTCCCTCACAGATCTGCGCATGGCCAAGGAGGTCCAGACAATTGAGGTCTACAAGCATGAGGTGAGGGCCTGCCCCCCACACACCCTGTTCTCCCTTCTCCCTGGGCCTCTCCTGTGTCTTGACCTCCTCCTCCCTTCCCCTCTTCCCTCCCAGGAGTGCTCCAGGCCCCACAACGGGCGCTGGATCGGATGCTTGGCAACTGACTCCGACTGGATGGTGAGCCAGGCGAAGCGCAAGATGGGTGGCAGCTCCGGGCCCTCCCAGCTGAGAGCCCGGGGCTTATGGTGGCGGGGGACCCTCGCCTCTCTGCCCAGGTCTGTGGAGGAGGCCCAGCTCTCACCCTCTGGCACCTCCGATCCTCCACACCCACCACCATCTTCCCCATGTGGGCACCACAGAAGCATGTCACCTTCTACCAGGACCTGGTGAGGCTCGCTGCCTTGACTTTGCGACCCCTGCCTGGTTCCTGTCTCTTAGTTCCTGACCCGGAAAGCCTCTCCCTGCTCTCCACAGATTCTGTCAGCTGGCCAGGGCCCCTGCGTCAACCAGTGGCAACTGAGTGGGGAACTTAAGGCCCAGGTGCCCGGCTCCTCCCCAGGGCTGCTCAGCCTCAGTCTCAACCAGCAGCCAGCAGCACCGGAGTGCAAGGTGGGTCCTGCAAGGAGCTGTGGGGGTCCGGGGAGGCCAGGGGTGTGGGCAGCTCAGTCACCCCCCTCTTGCCTCCAGGTGCTGACAGCTGCAGGCAACAGCTGCCGGGTGGATGTTTTCACCAATCTGGGCTATCGGGCCTTCTCCCTGTCCTTCTGACCTCCCGAAGCTGGTGGGGCCGGAGCAGAGGACCTGGACGAGGCCCTAAGCCCACCCTCTCGGGCAGGGAGAGGGCCTGGGGCCTCAGCGAGCCGGGGTCGGAACTGTTTTCTTTTTACAAAATAAAATGTCAGGCTTTTCTTCCCTGTGCTTTCTTTTCAAGAATGAAGACTAAGTCGGTGCAATGAATTATATATTACTATCTGATCTGATACATAAATAACCACCCCCACCCCTTCCCCGGAGCTTGCCAGGGCCCGGGGGCCTGGTGCCCTAGTGCTTAGAAAAGACCTATATAGATTCAAAAAATAGACAGCTCTGCCCCCCACCACCGACCTGGGGCCCCTGACCCTCAAAGCTGGGGCCTGCTCCCAGCGAGCCCCTGCCCAGCTTTCCTGGGTTGGGAGGGTACCAGCCCCCTTTGGAAGACAATCGGCCCTGTCGCTCCATTGCCCAGAAGAGGAAAGTGAGCCAGAGATGGCAGGGCAGGCCCCTTGGACGGCCCTCAGGTCCTTCGGAAGAGGTTGCTGAAGAAGCCGCCGGCATGCCCAGGGCGCCCCCGCAGTGAGAAGCGCGGTGCTGGGCGACTTGGAGCGGACCCAGCGGCGCTCAGCTCCTTCTGGCGCTGGGAGCGCAGCTGCTGCCCAATCACCACTTGCATGTCGTCCTGCGGCGGGAGGTCCTGCGGCGGGAGGTCAGCGGGGCGGGAGGAGCCGGTCAGCGCGCGGGCCCCGCCCCAAACCCCGCCCCCTCAGGCCCCGCCCTTTACCTGCCAGGCCTCCAGCTCTTGCGTCAGCGCCACCTTCTGGCGGATGGTGCGAAGCAGCTCCCGGGAGAGGGAGTCCCGCTCCAGAGAGACGCGGCTGAGCTCCAGGGACAGTTCCAGGGCCCTGCAAGCGGCAGGGGAGAGAGCTAGTTAGAGGGCGAGCAGGGGAGCGGGGTTGGGCAGGGCCTCCTGGACCCGGGCGGGAGTGGGACCCGGAACACCGAAACCAAGGAGGTCAGAGGGCCCCTGGGTCGGAGTGGGGGAAATTAGAACCCATGTCACCAGTGAGGCCTAGAAGGACCGGAGTGCCCTGCGGGGGAGGTGGTGGATGGCGGAGGCAGGCTCACTTGTTCACAGCCGTTTCCCTGTCCGAGAGGGCGCAGCTTAGGGCCTCCTCGGGGTCCTGTTCCCGCAGCTCCTTCTGCCTCTGCAGCTCCTCCCGCAGGGACTGGACCTCTGCCCGCTGAAGCTCGATCTGCAGGCAGGGGAGGAGGCAGAGAGGCAAGTAGGCCTCCGGGTCTCCAAGCCCTTGCTCTCCGTGGCAGTCTGGGCTTCCGCTCTCCCACCACCCTTCCCTTGCCTGCTCCACAAACACCCCAGGCAGCTGTGGCCCTGTGCTGGAGATGAATCTTCTGAGCCCCCAGGCTGGGGTGGGGCTACTTGGATGGTATAAACCTGCAGGAAGGGTGCATGGAGAAGCATTGGGAGGTGGGACTAAGGGGGCAATGCATCCAGGAAGTCATCCTGGAGGAGGTGGCAAACAGGCTGACCTTTTTTTTTAAATACTCACCAAGTATATTCCCCCCCCCCCTTTTTTTTAGGGAGGGAGGGAGAGGGGAAGAGAGAGAGAAACTTCAGCGTGAGCGAGATACATTGACTGGTTGCCTCCCATACCCATACTGATAGGGGCCAGGGATTGAACCTGCAACCCAGGAATGTGCCTTTGACCTGGAATCGAACCCACGACCTTTTAGTGCACAGGCCAACGCTGTAATCACTGAGCAAAACTGGCCAGGGCCAGGCAGGCCCTTGAAGCATGACTGCACGTTTGTTGGGATGAAGGATTATCCAGGTAGAGGGGCATTAGTGGAAAAAGGCTGAGTTATAGATGGAAAAGAGAAACACGTTGAGAAGGGCTCTACACCCAGCACTATGTCCTCCTCCCCACCTCATCCTGCAGCCGGGCCACTTCCATCTCCTTTTCCTCCAGTATCTCTCCTGGGCTCAGGGATGATCTCTTTATGGGAGGCTCCAAGCTCTCCTCCTGGGATGAAGGCTGTTGACTGGATGCCTCCTGGGTCTCCGGGGACAGAGTGGTCTGTTCACCAAAGGAATTAGTGAGGTGTTGAACCCCGTGGGGAAAGGAAGAGGGGTGGAGCCTGCAGCCCTCCTGGATGGCTGCGGGGCTTCGAGCTCACCGGGGCGTCTCTGTGTCCATCTGCGTTCTGGTTCTGGTCGCTGTCCAGGCTGTGGGCCAGCTCTGACTGCAGCGAGGCCCCCGATGTGTCGGCGTCCTGCAGGCGTGACTCCTCCTCCAGCTCCGAAACTCGCCGCTGCAGCCTCCGCAGGGTACTCAGTGCCTCCCTGGCCTCGGAGCGCGCACATTCCAGCTGTGCACGCAACGATAGACAAGCGAAGGCGGTCAGCCAGGCGCACCCGCAAGGCATCCCGCGGCTGGCCCATAGAGGGCGCTGGCGTGCCGCGGAGGGCCAGGCAGCCCCGCGCGTCTGCGCATCCCAGCTATAGGGGCCTGCTCCCCCACTCCTGGGTCTCCAGGCGGCAATTGGGTGGTGCACTTCCCCTTACCAATTTCCTCCCCTATAAATCAGGGTGCGGATAGGCGCCGGGGTTTTACAGTTTTCCATCGCCTTCCCTCCAGCCACACCCCATAAGGTAACTTCTCAGAGAGCCCGGCCCTGTCTTTGACCAGTCAGTCTTCTAACTGCTATCATGAGCCGTCCTGCTAAGCCAGCAGTGCTGGGCTCAGTGCCTCACACCCGCAACAAAGCTCTATACCATTACTATCCCATCCCACAGCTTGGGAAACAGGCTGGGTATTTCACAATATAAGAAGAGATCCTGGGATAAGAACCCAGAAAATTTGACCCTGAAGCGCTGCCTCTTTTCATTCCCTTTTCGCCATCTCTACCGCCTCAGACCTGGTCCATGTCCCCATCATCTCTGGCCTGAGCTCTAGCCTCAACCTCTTCCTCACCTCCCAGCTGCTTGGTTCTGATGCATTCTAGGAGTGTACCACCCCTGCTTAATTCCCTTCCATGGCCCCACTTGTCCTTGGGCTAATGCTTATGCTCTCGTGGCCCCGCTGCTGGGCTCCCATTGACCCAGCTCTGGCCTCATCTCCCAGGAAGACCTGAGACAGTGGCCAAGGCCAGCTGGATGCACCCACACACCCCAACCCCACTGGTCACCTCCAAGCTGTGCTCCCGCCTCTCTCGCCGCAGTAGCAACAGCTCCTCGTGGGTTGCCTGTAGCCTGCCCTGGCCCTTCTCCACCTCCTCACGCAGTCCTCGGATCTGGGCCTCCAGGTCCTGCCGGCGACTCTGCAGCATCTGGTTCTAGGGAAAGGCCTCAGCTGGAGGGGAGGTGCTGGGCTAGCTCCCGATTGCCCCAGCCCAGCTTTCCTGGCTCCACAGGCCCCCAGCCCTAGCGGCACTCACCTCCCCCTGCAGACTTTCCAGTCGAGTCCTCAGCTCTGCCCTGGCCAGGGCCTGGGCCTGGCACTGCCCCCGAAGGCCATCTAGTTCCTTCTGAAGCTCCTGCTCAGTCTGGGAGGCCTGGTGGTGGTGGTTGGGGCGAGAGGGGAACAGTGGAGCCCTGAGGTGGCCACAGCCTCCACACCAATCCCAGGGCACCCACTCCCCAACTGGGACCCAGGAACCTGGATGGGTTAGGGCTGTCCCACCTGGGCCAACTGCTGGCTGAGCCGCAGGTTCTGCTCACTGAGTTCCCGGAGGGCCTGGGCTCGTTCTCGTCCACTGTCCTGCTGCTCTGAGCGTTGTTCTCCAAGCTGGGCCCGCAGCGCCTCCACATCGCCCTCCAGCTCCACAGCCCTGGCCTCCCACTCGGCTCCCCGTGCTGCCAGGCCCCGGCGGAGCTCGTGATTCTCCTGCTGCAGCCGCTGTGGGGCCAGGACAGAAGGTCAGAGAGAGGGAGAGGTGAGACGAACAGACACGAGAGCCCCAGACGGAGAAACAGACCTAAAGAGTTTGAGGGAGTCTGAGACAGGGAGGGAGCAGGCAGAGAGCAAAAGGCAGATTCAGAGAAAAGGAGAGCAGGGTGGGGCACAGTAGAGAGAAGTTTCCAGGCCCGACAGGAGGGGCTGACCCCCCCCCTCCGGCCATGAGGTGGGGCTCCCTGATGCCCACTCACCTCTGGCTGCTGCCTGGACTTCTGGACCCGATGTTGCAGGCGCCGTTTCTGGCGCCTGAGTCTGGCAGAATTTAAGCCCCGACCCATAGTCTCACACAACTAGGGGCTCTGGAGGTTGAGCTTCTGCACGGCCTCTGCTCAGCCCCTCTCCCCCAGCTCCTCCCAGCCAGCTCCCTCTAATTAACCCTGGCCAGCCCCTCCTGGGCCCCACGCCTCTGCCCGCCCTCTCCCAAACCTGTCCAACGAGTGGGAGGGCGAGCCTGGCACACCCAGATACCCAGCGTGGGGAGGCAGGCAAGTCGCCCCCACGCTCTAATTATCGAAGCGGGAAAGTGATGCCAGCCACAGTCGCTACAGTTATTAGCAGTACTCCTGCCAGGCCGTGTGCTACCTCATTTAATCCACTAGAGTTAGAATCGTTCACGTCTTCATTTTACAAACGAGAACACAGGCTCAGAGAGGGAAAGATGCCTTGCCAAGGACACATAGTGAATTAGTGGAGCAGGGATCCCAACCCAGGCAGCCGGGTTTTTAACCCAATACTGTGGGGGCAACACTTCTCTAGGATTAAGCCCACAGGATTGGGGTCCAATGGTCTTGGCTGGTGCTCAGCTCTGCTGCTGCTTTGTGGTCAGGCAAGTCCCTTAATATCACCATGTCCCATCCATCCATCCATCCATCCATCCATCCAATATTGCCTGAGCTCCTCCTGTTCTGGGGTCTGGCTGTCAGCAGCAAGCCAGAGCACAGCGTTCCCTGCCTCAAACAGCTTGCGTCCAGAGATCTTAGGCAAACAGACACATGCTTGAACTAGGTGTTTTGGAGGGACAGTAAGGGCTGTAAAGAAACCCTGGGAAGTAATGAAGAGCAGGGTAGGGTGGAGGCTCCCCAGGTAGGAAGTGATGTTTGAATGGACTCCTGCAGGGCAAGAAGGAAGAGGGCTAAATGCAAGGAACAGTAAGTGCAAAGGCCCTGAGGGAACCAA